GCAATACCCAGAATGAGCACTCTGTTACTTAGATAAACATAATAGCCTTTTTTTCCTGTTTGGCCCATAGTTTTGATTTTTAAGATTCTAATCCAATTTAAGATTCTAATTTTCTTTTGTGAAAATGCTGTTGAAGGGATTGGCTGTAGAGTGTCTATGATGTCCGATTCTTGAAAGCACAATTGATCAGTAAACAGAAATAGGTGCTATGCACAGCAGGGTCGTGGGGGGGGGGCAGGGGAGAAGGACCGTATCCTGGACCCCAGAGGAAATTGGTAAGTGGAAGAAAAGTTTGGCATAAGTAGTGACATGATGTCTTCACTATTGCTTTGAGTAAAACTCGCCAACACATCATGAGGTACTAACTAACATGTGAACTTAACTGAGGGTAAAATATATCTCTTGGTGCAATTTCCTCAACAGACTATTGAAGAATGTTTATTCCAAGATCATTGAAAATCAAGAGGAATTCTAATGATGACCTCAAAGGCTGTGTAGGTAAGAAAAGTAAACCGGAAGCGGAAGACCTTCAGCTGGACAGCGCCGGAGCCTTTCCAGTTCATGCTTCGGCTACCAAAGAAGCTGTGGACAGGCCCGGCAGTGCCTCAAGCCCCTCACCCAGGCCCTCTGGCCAGTTGGCCGAGGCTTGTCTGGCAGGACCTGAACAGGGTGCGAAGGACAGCGATCATTCCGAAGAGCCTGTGAAGTCATTCTCCAAAAGCCAGCGCTGGCCGGAGCCTGGGGAGCCGGTGTGCGTTGTCTGTGGTCGCTATGGCGAGTACATCTGCGATAAGACTGATGAGGATGTGTGCAGCTTGGAGTGCAAAGCGAAACATCTGCTGCAGGTTAAGGGAGACGAGCAGTCGCTGAAGGCCAGCAGCCCGCAGAGAGCCGCTTCCGAGCCCGAGTCCCCACTGGGTGCCTTTTATGTCTATAGAGAGCACCCATTTATTGGGACCCTGAGAGAGGACCAGATTGAAACACTCAAACAGCAGCTGGGAATCTCGGTTCAAGGACAAGAAGTTGCCAGACCTATTATTGACTTTGAGCACTGTGGCTTCCCTGAGACTTTAAATCAGAACTTGAAGAAGTCAGGCTACGAGGTGCCAACTCCCATCCAGATGCAGATGATCCCTGTGGGGCTTCTGGGAAGAGACATTCTAGCCAGCGCAGACACCGGCTCAGGAAAGACAGCTGCTTTCCTCCTTCCCGTTATCATCCGAGCTTTATTCGAGGTAATGTACAGACCTGACGTGTATTCTCACAATCAGACGCGGTATTTACCAGGTTTCTTCATAATTAATAAATTTGCAAGCTGCATTTCAGCGTCTGTATAAGTCACCGACAAGCCTGGTGGTTTTGCTTCTGTTTCGTATGTGAGGCATAATTTCAAAGAATATTCTTTTTATTGTGTTGAACCAAAGCTCTCTTCCTGGAAGGCCTAAAAATTAATTTCCTTACTAAACATTTTTATTTTTAGCAGGTTTTCTATAAAAGAACAAAGTTTTGATCTGGAGGAAAAACCCTGCTTACCAGATGGATGAGCTGCGGTTTATGTCAGCTAAGCCGCTTGGGTTAGAGAAACTGGCATTGTATGTTATAATGCTGGTGCCCTCTTAGTTGTGACCATGCTTCATCTTTAACTAGTGCTGCTGGGCCTGGTAGCACAAGCCTGTATCCCAGCGCTGAGGCAGGAGAACTGGGTTCCCGACAGCCTAGGCTTTGTAGTAAGACCATGTCTCAAGCAAAGCAAAACAAGAAATACTAACTTCTTTGTTAGTTTGTAGTGCATAAAGCGTTCTCACGCACAGTTTCACAGGCTCTGCAGATTTGTTTTCCTAGTCCTTGCCAAGTGTCATCTGAAATGGTTTGGACCCAGAGATATTTAAGATTTGGGAGTTTTTCCAGCTTTAGAATATTTGCATAGACTTTACTGGGTGAGCATCCCTAGTTCAGAAATCCAAAGTACAAAATGTTCCAGAATCTGAAACATTTTTTTTAAAAAAAAAAATTATAATTTTATTTAAGTGTCTGGGTGCTTTCCTCTCTATGTGTCAGTGGATCACATATGTGTCCTTGCCAGAAGAGGATGTTGGCACTCCCTTAACTGGAGTTGCAGGATGTAGTGAGCTACCCTGGGAGTGCTGGGCACCAAACCTGGGTCCTCTGCAGGGCCAGCCAGTTCTCTTAACCACTGAGCCCTCCCCACTGCTCCCAGGATCTGAAACTTTGGACCGTGTCGGTGCTCCAAAGCCTTAGTATTTAAAGTGCATTTTAGTTTATGACTTCTGGGCTGAGGATGCTCAGCCTGTCCTGGGGGCTTGTGGGCTGTGCATGGGGCAAAAAGAGTGAGAAGGGCAGGCGGAGAGAAAAGAGAAGGCAGTAGAGGATGGCGCGAGGGGAGGCGCCAGGTGTCTCAGGTGAGCTCAGACATGGGTGACGAGAGAGCTGAGGGAGAGGGTGGGGTGGGGACGCCTCTCATGCAGCCATACATAGACTCAAGTTCTTTGTCCCCCTCCCCCCCAAAAAAGATGTAAAGATGTAAAAGCACGAGAGTGGAGAATCAAAATACAGTGCCAAGTTTGGGTGGGTCTTCATGTGACCGTGGGACTCCTCCTGGAAAGAGGAGACCTTTCTTGCCTTGCCCACTTTTGATTTTCAGTTGTTTATCTGTAATGTAAGAAATGAGTTCAATTTCTGATCAATTTTGGAGGAAAACTGCACAGGGTGAGCAAACGGCTCATATCAGGGACTGATGGTGTCACTGCAAAGGGCATAGTTCATAGCAGCAGGGATTCCTCGTTAGGCTTTCCAAGTTGTTTTTCTCCTCTCTGCAGGACAAAACTCCATCGGCGCTCATTCTTACACCAACGAGAGAACTGGCCATCCAGATAGAGAGGCAAGCCAAGGAACTGATGAGTGGTCTGCCACGCATGAAGACAGTGCTTCTCGTGGGGGGCTTGCCTTTACCCCCACAGCTCCATCGCTTACGCCAGCAGGTGAAGGTAAGCACCTGTTCGGGAGAAGGCCTCTGACAGTTTTGTAAGCAATAGAGGAACGTCTCTCTCTCTCTCTCTCTCTCTCTCTCTCTCTCTCTCTCTCTGTGTGTGTGTGTGTGTGTGTGTGTGTGTGTGTGTGTGTGTGTGTGCATGATTCCCCTTGAGGATGTGATTTTAGGTAGCTTTTAGGTTTTTGCCAACTAGGTCTTTTTTACCTCGAGTTAATTTTATAGCCAGCTGTAGTGATTCCTCTGTAACCCCGCCCTGGAGGTTGAAGCAGGAGAGTTTGTAGTTAGTCTGAGCAACATAGTGAGTTCTAGGCCAGCACACAGCTGCAGAGTGAGGCTTTGTCTCAAAAAAAAAAAAAATTAAATCAAAGGTTCATTTCACGTAGGAAGAGAATGGACCGCCGCTTCCTGAGTGCTCGTATACTTCATCTCGTGCAACCACGTTTGCTCTGAAGATAGTTCTGTTTATCCCATCTTACGTGATTGGGAAGCAGATCTCAGAAGGTGGGATTTAATTAAATATTCCTAGCTACTAAATAATAATTTCCCAAACTGGAACCTTAGTTTCTCTGACTCTGCTACCCTCTTCACCGTGCTGCTGTGTGGGGGCTGTTTTCTGATGGGGGAGGGATGTGATCTAGCAGCTTGGGAACTTGCTGACAGTGTCACAGAGAGCCGGCTTGGCTTTGGTGAGCTCTGGTTTTCTTGAGTTAGAATGGCTGTACATCCTTGTCGATTCAGCTTAAGGCAAGGTTAGCAAAGATTGGACTGTAGCCTAGGTGCAGACATTGTCCCGGGGTCCCCTACTGTTCTGGACATCCCAAGGGAGAAACAGTTGTCAGAGAACCCTGTGTGGAGAAGGGACAACGGGTACTTACCAACAGGTGTAAAAATGCTGCAATATTGAAAAACCTCTGTATTAATACCTGTCATGCTTTTCAGACATCTCATCAGATATGTCTGAGAGATTTAATGCATGTCAAATACACCTGTAAGACATTTTTGATTGGCAGTTAGTGGGGAATTGGGTCATTGATTTTCTTCATAAACCTCCACTATATATACAGAGAAAAGTGATATTTTGCTAGTGAAAAATCATAAGTTCAGCAGCAGTATTTGTTTATAAGGCAAACCTTTACCATATGAACACGTTATGAACCCTGCATTGGGTTAGGAGAACTTGCTGGAGTCTCATGTAAGCGTCCAATCTATTTTATTGCACAGCTTTGAACATTATGATGCATAGAAACATGTGTGCAGTTTCTCTATAGCTTTGGAGTCTGTCCTGGAACTCGCTGTGTAGACCAGGCTGGTCTTGAACTCTCCTGCCTCTGCCTCTCGAGTGCTGGGATTAAAGGCGTGCACCATCACCGCCTGGCCTTCTTTTGGCTTTCCAAGACAAGTTGTGGTGTGCTGGCTGGCCTCCAGCTTAAGTTCATCCACCCAGCCTTCTGAGTGTTGAGCTTGCTCCATCGTGCTGCCTGCAGTTCATTCTCAGAAAGAATAGTTCCTACATTGGGGGTAAACTACAGTTCGCAGTATTCAGTCATTTAGATGACTGGATGCAGTGTTTTCACGCATTTTTTAAAAAATCAACTTGAACAAAAGAAACCAGTACAATATAAGAAAGTTCTTTCTCCCAGGATTCTTGGAAGTACATTTCTGACTTAGTGTTTTGTCAGTTTTATGTATTTCAGAATGTGATTCCTATAACCAAGGACATTACTCTGCATGTCCATAATGCAATTATAGATTCAGGAAGTTAACACTGACATATTAGAATAGATCAGAAATTAACATGTCATCTACACTTTGGATCCCATTCACATTTTTATAATTCTGCCACCTACACACACACACACACACATACCCACATGCACACATGCGTGCACACACACACCATACCCTATACCTGGTCCTGTAGCGTAAGAATCCAGCTCAAGCTGATGTAATGGCAGCACCTCTAATTCTAGCACTATGGCTTTGGAGGCAAGAAGATTGAATGTTCAAGGCTAGCCTGGTCTACAGAGTAAAAGCCTGTCTCAAAAAATAAGCATTAAAAAATAAATAGGTACAGGATTGTATGATATATTTGGATGGTGTGTGTCATGGTTAATGTTGTCAACTTGACAGGATCTTGGGTCACCTGAGAGATGGGCCTTTGGGCATGCCCCTGGGGGACTGTGTTGATTACAGCGACCAGTGTGGGAAGACCCATCTTAATTGTAGGCCAGCATTCCCTGCGCAGGGGCTCCTGGACTGTATAAAATTGGAAAATCAAGCTGAGCGCTAGCACACAGTTATGGTTCTCTGCCCGCTGGTTGAGAGTGTCCTTGCCACAAGTGGATTGCACCTTTGAACTGGGACCCAGAACAAACCCTTTACCCTTACGTTGCTTTGTTAGGGTATTTTCTTATAGCGGTGGGGAAAGAAGCTGAAACAGTGTATATCTGTCCTCTTCAGTTTGCTGTGGTCTTTACATTTGGGTTTTTTTTTTCATGATTTTGACACTTCTAAGTTTTACAAGTCACTTCTTTTTGTTGTTGTTGCTCTGATTTTTCTTATTGTACTTTTAGTTTTTTATGCATATGCGTGTTTTACCTCCTTGTATGTATATGCACCGTGTGAGTACCTAGTGTGGAGGAGCTGGAGTCACACATGGTTGGGAGCCACCAGGTGGGTGCTGGGAACAGCTAGTGCTTCTAGCCATGAGCCATCCTTTCAGGTTGTTCTTTTTACATTTTTCTATGTGTATGGTGTGTATTGAGATGTATGTGCACGTGTGTGTGTGCAGGTATGTACGCCTATGCACTGATAGGGGCCAGAGGAGGACACTGGTTGTCATACTTTTTCACTTCCTGAGTCATTCCCTTGAGACAGATTCTCTTACTGAAGCTGAAATTCCATAGTGCTGGGGTTGCAGGCACATGTGCGGCCGTGTCCAACTTCTGTGGGTGCTGAGGCCTTGCACTCAGGTCCTTGTGCTTGTACAGCACGTGCTCTTGCCTGCTGAGCCAGCCCCGCCCCTCCATCTGTCTCCTGGTCTCAGACTTACAGCCGTCCTCCTGCATCTGAAGGGCTGAGGTTACAGGTGTGCTCCACCATGCCCAGCTGACGAACCACTTCAGAGTGAAATATACGTTGTTCTTTTCATTGCACCTTTTTTGGCAGCTTTTACTTTTTTTTTTTTCCTTCCTTGAGGAACTGGGGAGGAACTCCAGGTCTCATGCATGCTAGGTGTCTTAGTTAGGGTTTCTATTGCTGTGAAGAGACACCATGACCATGGCAGCTCTTATGTAAGGAAAGCCTTTAATGGGGTGGCTTGCATTTTCAGACATTCAGTCCATTATCATCAAGGTGGGACATGGCGGCATACAGGCAGACATGGTGCTGGAGAAGGAGCTGAGAGTCCTACAACTTGCAGGCAACAGGAAGTAAACTGAGACACTGGATGGTATCTTGAGTGCATATGAAACCTCAAACCGTGCCTCCACAGTGACACACTTTGACCAATGAGACCACACCTGATCTAACAAGGCCGTGCCATTTTCTTTCAGATCACCTCACTAGGGAAACACTCTACGTGCCACTACCTTGCAGAAGATTAACTTGTCTTTAAACTGTATAGTTTATTTTTTCCTTTTGTGTTTAGTAAATATTTTGAGAAAAGTTTTTTGAGATACATGATGTCTGGTATTCATTGATATGGTGTCAGGATTCCTGTTTTGTCTAAAGGTATAGTCTCATATTGTGATTTGGTTTGGCCATGATTTGAATGGTAGATGTACCTGGAGCTGGTTTTTGTGGCCTTAGGTCATCTCTCCATTATCTCTGAGCACTTACTGTCTACTTAAGGAGGTTCCTGGCTGCCTTATTTTTTCCCTGGCCAGTGCTGGGATCTTGCCTTTCTCCAAGGAGTCCTTTGTAGACACCCCCTTCAGGAACTATGTAGGTGTATTTTTGTTGTTGTTTTTGAAGTACTCACCTTCCTCCCATTGGTCCTTTGGATTCATCTTTATGTTTTATGACCTGCACAGACTTCTCCATTTATTGTATATGTATCACAATAGCATTTTTTTATTTGTTTCTTCCTGTAGATGACTATTTTCTGAGAGCAGAAACAGTATATGATTTATTCATTTTGGTGATGTAGGTGGGTCTTCTGTCTATATGTTACTTTCATTGGTCAAATAAAGAGACTGCCTTGGCCTTTGATAGGATAGTAGCTTAAATAGATGGAGTAGACAGAACAGAATGCTGGGAGAAAAAAGCAGAGTCAGCCATGAAGCTCCTCTCCGAGATGGACTCATGCTGGTAAACCACAGTCAAGTGGCTATACAGATTATTAGAAATGGGTTAAAAGAATATGTAAGAGTTAGCCAATAAGAGGTTGGAACTAATGGGCCAGGCAGTGTTTAAATGAATACAGTTTTCATGTAATTATTTTGGGTAAAGCTAACCGCGAGCCAGGAGCCGGGCAGGACGAAAAGCAGCCCGCTTTCTATTTACAGCATTGTGGTACTTTACACAGTATCTTGTATATACTAGCTACCCAGTAAAAAATAGAATGAAAGGCCAGGTGTGGTAGTGTGTACCTGTAACCCCACTACTCAGAACATGGAGGCAAGCCAGGAGTACATAGTGAGACCCTATCCCAAAAGAAAGCAACAAAGATTGAGTAAACGAATGAATATTATCTAATTTTAAATTTGCCTTTGCTCTTTTCTTCAGGTTATCATAGCAACCCCTGGACGACTTCTGGATATAATAAAACAGAACTCCGTATCGCTTTGTACCATAAAAATTGTGGTGGTGGACGAAGTAAGTAGTAATGTTTAAAACCTATTGATGAGGTTGAAGCAATGGCTCCATGGTTAGTGTGTGCTGTGTCAGCGTGAGGACCTGAGTTCAAGTCCTCAGCACTCACGTGAAGTCTGGGCATGGAGGTGTATATGTGAAACCGCAGTGCGAGGAGGGCAGACGGGGGCTCCTGGAGCTCTGGGCGCAGTGAGGGACTCTGTCTGCAAAACTAAGGTGAAGGTCTGGGAAGATGGCCGGGGGGTAAGGGCCTTTGCCAGTCAAGCCTGATAACATGAGTAAGAGCCATGTTCACTAGCAGTAATAAATAGTAACAGAGACCTCTGTCTGATGTAGGGTTAGTGAAGATCTTTTCCCATTCTGTAGGCTGTTGTTTTGCCTTGTTGACCATGTCTTTTGCTTTACAGAAGCTTTTCAGTTTCAGGAGGTCCCATTTATTAATTGTTTCTCTCAGTGTCTGTGCTGCTGGGGTTATAGTTAGGAAGTGGTTCCCTGTGCCAATGTGTTCAAGTATACTTTCCACTTTCTCTTCTATAAGGTTCAGTGTGGCTGGCTTTATGTTGAGGTCTTTGATCCATTTGAACTTGAGTTTTGTGCAAGGTGATAGATATGGATCTATTTTAACTCTTCTACATGTTGATATCCAGTTAAGCCAGCACCACTTGTTAAATCTGCTTTCTTTTTTCCTTTTTATAGTTTTTGCTTCTTTATCAAAGATCAGGTGTTCGAAGGTGTGTAGATTGATATCTGGGTCCTCTATTCGGTTCCATTGGTCCTCCTGTTTGTTCTTATGCCAATACCAGGCTGTTTTTCAGTACTGTAGCTCTGTAGTAGAGTTTAAAGTCAGGGATTGTGATGCCTCCAGAAGTTCTTTTATTGTGCAGGATTGTTTTGGTTATCCTGGGATTTTTGCTTTTCCAAATGAAGTTGAGTACCATTCTTTTGAGGTCTTTGAAGAATTTTGCTGGGATTTTGATCGGCATTGTGTTGAATCTGTAGATTGCTTTTGGTAAGTTTACCATTTTTACTATGTTAATTCTGCCTACCCAAGAGCATAGGAGATATTTACACTTTCTGGTGTCTTCTTCAATTTCTTTCTTCAAAGATTTAAAGTTCTTTTTATACAAGTCTTCCACTTGTTTGGTTAGAGTTACTCCGAGATATTTTATGCTATTTGTGGCTATAGTGAAGGGTATTGATTCTCTGACTTCTTCTCCAGCCCTGTTATCATCTGTGTACAAGAGGGCTACTGATTTTTTTTTTGAGTTGATCTTGTATCCTCCAAAGCAGTTCCTTTATTAACCAATGAAATCAACACGTAGACAGAAGGACGTCCTACATCACTCATGCAATCCTAGAACTGGGTTGGTGGAGATAGGCAGAGCCCTGTCTCAGGAGCCAGCCATTCTACCCTGCTTGACAAGCTTCAGGCCACTGGGAGGCTCAAAAAACAAGGTGAAGAGTACCTAAAGAATGGCACCAAGGTTAACCCCTGACCTTCATGCAGGCATGAATGTCTATACATATACAGGTACACCCACATGAACACCACACACATACACACACACGCATACACACATACACACACACACACACACACACACACACACAAATAAAAAAAAAGGAATTAAAAAAAAGTCACACAGGCATGGGGCACATGCCTGTTAACGCAGTACTCACCTAGAGAAGGAGAGACAGGAGGATTTCAAGTATTAGACTAGCCTGAGTTATCTAGAGATACTCTGATCCAAAGTACCAAGGACTGGGGAAGGATATATGGCCCCATGATTAAGAGGACCTGCTGCTCTTATGAGGATTTGGATTTGATTCCCAGCACCTACACCATAGCTCTCAGCTGTCTGTAACTCTGTTCCATGGGACCTGACACTTTATAGTTTCTGTGGGCACCAGGCCACATGTACATCTTCATACATACAGACAAACACAATACACATAAACTAAAAATCTTTTTAAAAGGATTGTAAAGTGCTTGCCTAGCATTTGCAAGGTATTGGATTCTATCTGTCCCACCATTGAAAAAATGTATTAGAAGAAGAGGAAAACGATTGGATATGATGGATTTCCACAGAACAGGTAAAGGTTGAATTTGTCTTGAATACCATGAACTAGTGGGGGAGACTACAATAAAATAAATACTGCATTATGTAAATGATGTGCTAATTGTCTAGGGCAATTAAGGTCTTGAGTAGAATTAAGAGAGTAAATGCTTTGGCACTATTAATAGTAATGGAGCCAAGTGGTAGGTGTGCACACCTTTAATCCCAGCACTCAGAAGGCAGAGGCAGGCGGATCTCTGTGAGTTTGAGGACAGCCTGGTCTACGAAGTGAGTTCCAGGACAGGCTCCAAAGCTACAGAGAAATCCTGTCTCGAAAATCCAATAATACGTGTGTGTGTGTGTCTGTGTGTGTGTGTGTCTGTGTGTGTGTCTGTGTGTGTGTCTGTGTCTGTGTACATATACATATATATAGTAATCCAATATATACATGTGTGTATGTGTGTACATATACATATATATAGTAATGGTCTGTCTTCTCTGAGGAGTGGAAGGGGGTGGGGTAGGGAGAAGGTGGAGGAAATGGGAGGATTGGGAGGATGAAAAGGAGGAGGAACTGGAATTGGTATGTAAAATTAAAATTAAAAAAAGTTGTTTTAAAAAAAATTAAAAATAGTAATGGGATTTGGACTGCTCCTCAGAAGATTTAAAAACCAGAGGACAGATGAGATATTCTCATAACGAGATAAGCAGCACTGTCAGAAAGCCCAAGTGTCTTGTGGAGGGAGGAGGGAGATCAACCCTTCCTGAGAAATAATAGGAAGTAGAGTGGGGCAGTTCGGGTGGAGTCAAATTATAGAGGGCCCTGAAAGGGAGGCAGAAGCTTCTGGATTTGATGTGGGAGACAATGAGGCTCTCTAAATTACGAGTTGGGTGTAGCTTGGTAAAAGTGGTGGTTTAGGGAAGCCATTCCCTACTCAGTACAAGAGAAGTTAAAGAAGAAGGACTCAGAGACTGAGCCATCAACAAACCAGCCAAGGTATGAAGGGGTCAAGGGCAGGGTGGAGGCCCTGGGACCAAAGGGTTAAGTCTGAGAGTCGCCATGTAAAGTCATCATTTATGAGCCTTCTGAAGACTTCATGTGGGGAAGGAAGGAGGCAGCTGGAGAGGTGACTCCATAAATTATAGTGTGCTTTTAATTTTAGCACAGGGTAAGTGAATAAATGCTGGGTCCTGGTTACACTCTCTGAGTTTGCCCTTCCTCTCACCAGTAGACGAAGGGAAATGTTTCTCCACGCAGAAAGCGTGTATTGGAGTCTATGTGCTGTCTTGTTTCTTCAAGAGAAGACTGGAGGGAAGTAGTGAGCAGCTGAGTCAGCACAGTAGCCTGGGACAGAAGCTGAGAGCCAGCCATGCCTCTCAAGGAGGGAGGGCAAGGACTCAGGTCGTTTCCTGCCGTTTGAAACCTCTGCTCAATGTCACCATCCTGTCTCTTGTCAGATCTTCCCTTTGGCCTAGAAGTCTCCACTACCCCGATCCTGCTCCTTCCTCACTGCTTCAGAATGAGAGACTCTGAAACTCCCCTGTCTCTCAAGAGGAGGGTTGAGGCCTTCTTCCTTCACTCTGTTGGACTATGCACAGACTGTACTGTTTCACTTACACGGTGTTGCAGTGGATAAGCATTGGCCTGTCCAACTTGGCCTAGTGATAAAAATCACCTGGGGTTCAGATAGTATGTGCTGGCTTGTGACCCCAGCACTTAGTAGGCAGATGCTAGAGGGTGGGTTCAAAGCCAGTCTGAGGGCACTGGAGAGATGGCTCAGTAATTAAGAGCACTTGCTACTCTTACAGAGGACCAGAGTTCAGTTCCCAGCACTCACCTGGTGGCTCTAATCCTAGGTCCAGGGGATCCAACACCCTTTTCTGACCTCTACAAGTCTAGGCACGTGCATGGAGCACAGATTGCCTGCCAGAAAAATGTCAAACATATAAAATTAGTGAATCCAAAGTCAGCCTGGGCTACCAGGAAACCATATCTCCAAATAAAAGGAAGTGACAAACATTCAAAAACAGAACTGCGTGGCGTGCCAGTGAATGCAATCTAGACTGTCTTTTTCACTGGGACAGTGATTCAGCAGCCCAGGGATCTTGAAAAACTCATCCCACGTAATTCCTGGATTTTAAGAGGTTTGGGACACTGGCATGTGGCCTTTTACAAAATTAGGTCTTATTTAGTACTTAGAATTAAGGATGTCGGGGCTGGAGAGATGGCTCAGAGGTTAAGAGCACTGATTTTACTTCCAGAGGTCCTGAGTTCAATTCCCAGCAACCACATGGTGGCTCACAACCATCTGTAATGAGATCTGGTGCCCTCTTCTGAAGTATAGGCACATATGCAGCCATAACACTATACATAATAAATAAATAAATCTTTAAAAAAAGAATTAAGGATGTCCCTATATCTATGAAAAGTATTCTTTGGGGGCTTTCATCATGCCGGATACTGTTGGTTAGTGGATGTATGGAAAGGAATGCTGATGAGCTCTGCCCCATGGAGCTGTGGCGAGTGTACCAGTCCATGGCAATATGGCAGGGACATATTTTCTTAGGTTGGTAACCAGAGGCTCTCTGGGAAGGTGATGTGTAATATAGAGATTTGATGGAGACACTTCTGGAGGGAAGAAAGAAGACAGCCAGTGCACATCAGTGGGCAGCCAGTGCACATCCATGGACAACCCTGTGGTAGGGAAGGCTTCAATGTGAATTGAGAAATACCAACATTAGGACCATAGTCAACATTTAAGCCATAGCTATCTCAACATTATTTTTTTAATAAAATAATTTTATTATATAGGACATATCCATAGCTAGAAGGTAATAAAAATTTGAAAAGCAAAAAGTGAACCCTGATAGGCATGGTGGCTCTTGCCTATAAACCCAACACTTGGGAAGCTATCTCAGAAAGATCATGAATTCAAAGCCAGCCCAGCCCACCTACCAAGACTCCATTTCCAAAGTCCAAGGCTGACAGATGCGCTTTAGTAGTGGGACACTAGCACACACAGACCTGGGTTAGATTCTCACCGCAGGAAGCCACACAGCAGTTCTCTAGGCTTCTCCATAGTAGCAGTTTAGTTTTCAGGGTTTCGCTCTGTAGTTCATTCTGACCCTGAACTCAGTCCTCTTGCCTTGGCCTCCTGAGTGGTTGGATTACAGTGTAAACCATTCCCCCAGATTAATTAATTTCTTGACTATGTAATATAAATAGTATTGTGTTGTACAGTGTTCATTTCTTTTCTCCATGCGATCATTCATTGTCTAGTAAAGAGCTTTCTGTTTGTTTTCATAATGACACAGTGTTATGTGTTGCCTTAATTTAACAAGTGCCTTATGGATAAGAATGTCTCTTTAGTAGCTATTATTAATAATAATAATCCATATCATTAAGTTATATAGTTTATAATTTTGCATAAACATTTCCCTGTTGGTCTTTTGGCACTGTAATTTTGCATTTTTTCTGTGTTTTTTTTTTATTATTTTTTTCTGTTCCTAATTATTCAGTCTTATCATGAGTGGTTCTGGGTTGCAGTGCTGAATAAGCTGAGTTTAGAATGCCTTCCTCTTAGGCCGACACCATGTTAAAGATGGGCTTTCAACAGCAAGTGCTTGACGTTTTGGACAACACTCCTGCTGACTGTCAGACCATCTTGGTTTCTGCCACGGTCCCAGGCAGCATAGAGCAGCTTGCGGAGCAGCTTCTGCACAACCCTGTGAGGATCATCACCGGGGACAAGAACCTGCCTTGCCCCAGCGTGCGGCAGATCATCCTATGGGTGGAAGACCCAGGCAAAAAGAAGAAGCTATTTGAAATCTTAAATGTGAGTATTTAAGCAGGTAGCCATGTTTGTGGCCTGTGTTTGTGTTTCCTCAGCTGCAGAGTGATATTTAAGCTTTGGAGGAATTTTGGTGCATATAGTTAATAGTAAATCCTTCTGTGTGCATCAGAATTCTGTAAGGATCAAATTGAATTTTGCTTCTGATGTTCGTTTGAGGCAGACTTTTTCTATGTATCCCTGACTTGCCTGATACCGTGTAGCCTGGACTCACACAACCCTTCCACCTCCCTCTCCTTAGTATTGGGGTTAAAGGCATTTGCTGCCTTGCCCAGTTCAAAGTTTTGATTCTGGAAATATGTAGTGTAGATGCCTAGTTGCTGCTTTGTTAGGGTACACATTTTATTTTGTTTTGAGGTCTCACTTTACAGGCCAAGCTGGCTTGGAACTCACAATCCTCCTTCAGCTCGTGGAGTTTGTAGTTGTCAGTGTCTGTGCCATCCCTTTTGACTCCGAACCTGCTTTTCTTTTCCTTACTATAAAAAGTATTTCCTTTTGAAGATTATTTCTCATGAGTTAGGTATAGTGATTCATGCCTATAATCTCAGTATTTGGAAGGCTGGGGCAGAAGAATAATAGCCTTGTATTTGAAACTAGCTAGGGCTACAGATTGAGCTCCAGTGAGCCTAGACTACAGAATGTGATCCTTTCTCAAACACACAATACACACACACACACACACACACACACACTTCTTCAATATTTTAACTTTCAAAATTTATATATATTTTTCAAGGTATTCTTTGTATATTCTGTCCTTAAGAATCTTTGAACTAATTTGAACAAACTTGTTAGAGTGGCTAATATATGAAAATTACTTACAAATATGGTATTAAGTTAAAGACAACTTGCATTGACTAGTGAGCAGGGTTTAAAACTTGTAATGGGCCTTAGATTTTTAAAATATATTTGTGATATTAATGATGAAAAAGCGAAGTGATGAGTTTGTACATCCTTAAATGAGAACATTAGTTTTAGAAGATATGCTTTTATTTTATAAAATAATTATAATTTCCTTTTAGCAATATTTATAAACCTTTCAATAGTTAGCTTATGCTAATGATTTCAGAGTTTTCCACATGAATTATGCTCTATGAATAATTTCTTGTCTTGTTTCCTCAGGATAAGAAGCTCTTTAAGCCTCCAGTGTTGGTATTTGTGGACTGCAAACTAGGTGCAGATCTGTTGAGCGAAGCAGTTCAGAAAATCACAGGTCTAAACAGCACCTCCATGCACTCAGAGAAGTCTCAGATGGAAAGAAGAGACATACTGAAGGTTGGCTCATAGCACTCTGTATTCTCTGTCTTCAAAATCTGTTTTGCTGCGTTTTCAAGAGACGCCCTACTGCCAGCTGGTTGTAAGGCAGACCTCCTCAGTGACAGGAACGTGACGAAGAGGTGACTGGAGTTCAGTGTTCCTCTTGCTCAGGCCTCTGCCTGTGGGGAGCAATACGCCAGCTCTCTGGAGGGTGTGTGCTAAGTGGATAGCTAATTCACAATTCACTCTTTCGGAAATCAGGTCAGTTTGGTCTGGGACAGAGCAGAAGCTCACCTTCGGAAGAGATTCACTTGAGTGAATTAGTAAAATAAATTCCACAGAGGTTAGGGAGAGCTTAAGGTACGATCAGTTTCCAAGGGTCTTTAAGACTTCTGTTTATTGAAAGCTGTTGCAACAAAATACTGAGGTGAGCATTAAAAAAAGTCAGAATTACACAAAGCCATATGAAATAAGTTCTAGATAATGATTTAATTTTTTACTGTTTATTGTTTTTTTACCCAGGATTTCATTATGTACCACTAGCTGGCCTAGAACTTTATCTAGACCATGCTGGCCTCGAACTCAGAGATCTACTGGCCTCTGTCTCCTGAGAGCTGAAATTATAGCTATGCCTTACTACTCCTGGCTGAATAATGAACTTTTTGATTTATTGGAAAGGGATTGCTGGAAGGAGACTATGAGGTGGTGGTGAGCACGGGGGTCCTGGGCCGAGGACTGGACTTGGTCAACGTCAAGCTGGTTGTGAATTTTGATATGCCTTCAAGCATGGATGAGTATGTTCATCAGGTAAGGAGCCTCCTGTCCTGCCAGTTTGTTGATGAGTTTGATTGGATAAGGCCTTGTCAGGTCGAGCAAACACTTTTTAAAAAGCGGGACATAAAACTTTGCATAATTTTAGTCTTCAAAAAATATAAATACTTAGAGCTGGAGAGTTAACTCAGCAGCTAAGAACACTGTCTACTCTAGAAGACCCTCAGTCAGTTCTCAGAGCCTACATGGTGGCCAACAACCATCTGTAACTGTGGTCCCAGGGGAGCTGACACCCTCTTCTGACCTCCTTGGGTACCGTGCACATAGTGCACATACATACAGACAGACAAAACATTCATTCATACACACAAAATTATTTAAAAATTTTTTAAATTAAAAAATTGTGTGTGTGTGTGTGTGTGCGCGCGCGTGTGTGCACGTACATGTGTGAGTATGTGCACTTAGAAGCAGAATTTTGGTATAACATAGTTTATACCTAAACTATGATAAAAACTAGAAGTGAGAAACCTAAAATTCTGTTTATTTGTTTTAACGTTAAGGGTAGGAGAGATAGCTCAGTGGCTAAGGGTACTTGTTGCTCTTGCAGGGGACCTGGTTCACTTCCCAGCACCCCCAGAGCAGCTCACAAGCATCTGTAGCTCCAGTTCTTAGGTCCAGACACCCTCTTCTGGCTCTGCTGGCACTGGGCCTGCACATGATACGCAGCCATAAGAGGCAAAACACACATGTGCATTAATTAAATCTTTAGAAAACATTTTAGGCACCAAATTATTGCTTCATTTTTGATACTTTCTCTTTTTCCCTCCATCAAGTCCACTGGTAGCTTTTATATTTAGAAAAGAAGCCTGTTTAAAAGATTGCTTTAAGTTGCTGAGCTGGCCAGAGTAAACGTGATCCTCTAAAGTGCTTGTTTTAGGGGTCTTGTCTTCTCTTCATAGCCTTACTTGTCCTAGTCTTTCACCTGTTAAAGTTTCATTTGTTTCCTTTGCTGCCAGAAGTAACAATGGCCCCTCTTTCTGGCAGAAACAGAGCCTTCGCTTAGCGCTGTTATCTCGCTGACTGCCCTGTCTTCCTTCTGCGGCATCACTTACAGTCCCTCAAGCGCAGCCTTCCTCTGATGCTCTGGGGCTCACCTCCCAATGGCCGCATTGACTTTTCAGTGTCTACACTGCGGTGCAGCTTGAGTTTTACTGGGCTTAGTCGGGAATCAGATATCCTCCAAGAGGTAGCATTAGAACAAATGAAATGTTTCCTTCCAAATAGTTCATAATTTTAGATAGAAACATTTCTAAAATGTTACAATATTGAGATGCCTCTTTGCCTCTTAGAATATGCTAGTTATAGTCATTTAACCTTTCATGACATCCCAAGGCTGACTCTGGCTTTCCGTATTCCCCTACTACAATACAGTGGTGGCCTCTGGGCTTGGTGAATGTGTAAGGTTTCTTAACTCTGTTTAGATGACTCTAGAACTAGCTGCTTTTCCAGCTCTGTCTCTTAGATTATTTCAGTTCTTAAAGTCCATATTCATGGTAACAAGTATCACACATAACAAAAGGCATACAATGAGAAGTAAGCCTTCTTTTATGTTTTGAGACAGGATCTCTACATAGCCCTGCCTGCCGCAGACCTCACAGAGATCTGCCTGCTGCTGCCTCCTGAACTCTGGTATTAAAAGTGTGCACCATCACACCTGGCAACAAATCCTCTTTACAATTTCCTTCTATCTTTGAGTTTTGGCAGGTAATAGTTTAAAAATTATAAGCATACATACATATAAGGTACACATATTTATTACATACATGTGAATGTGACCACATCATAACTATTGTTCCATGCCTTGCTTTATTAAATATATCTCAGATGTCTTTTCTCATCAGCATACATAATAGGAACCATTTAGATGTTAATCCAGGCTCTTTAAATGTTTTCACTAACTTACTTGGCTTGTCCCATTTTGACTGCTACAAGATGATCCACTGTGTGAATGTACTATGGGTTAACAACCCCTGTATTGATTGCTGTGCTTCCAGTGATTTACTGTTAAAGAATGCTGCAGTATCACCCATGTACTTGTCTTTTTATGAGAGCTAGTATACAACGAGTTCCTCTGGCCATGGGCACAGTAGTCAAACCAGTATTTGCAGCTATGGGAGAGGCTGGATCAGAAGGATTGTTTGAACCCAGAAGTTTGTGAATAACCTGAGCAGTATAGCAAGACTCTATCTAGATTTAAAAAGAAAAAAAAATTTTTTTTTAGTAGAACTGCTAAGTCAAAGATAAGTATAATAGGAATTCCCATGTGACTAGTTTTTATTTTTAATGGTAGAAAGTTTCTGGGAAAAGTAATTTGATATTAGATAGCATCAGCTACCTTAGAGTTTGGAAAGTATTGGAGGTTGTTTTTGTTTTATGCGGGATTTTAGACCCAGGGCTACGTGCATGCTGGGCAAACACTCAACTACTAAGCCACATTCCCCATTCCTGCCCCCACCCTTTTAATTTCGAGATTGTGTCTTTCCAAGTTGATCAAGCTAACCTCAAATTTAGGGTTCTCTTGCCTCAGCCTCCCAAGTAGCTGGGATTGCAGGGGTGTGTTCCCACTCCCCGCTGCACTCTGTATCTTGTTGTAATCATCAGTACATACAGTTCTGGAACTGTCCAACCCACTCATTTAAAGAGAATCCAAACAATTAAGTGTATAAATATATCAGTACAGTTGTACAACTTAACCAGTCAAGTCTAGAAAATGTTTACCACCCTAGAATAGACTGTTTTCCAAAGTAACTTTTACATATTCTTCAACAATATGTGAGTTCCAGTTTCTCTACATCTGCCAAGTCTTGTTATTCCTTGATTGATGATTGATTGATGATTGATTGATTGAGTGACTGATTTTAAAGTCAAGATTTCATGAATTCTCGTACTCCATGCTGACCTTAAATTTCAAAGTAACTGAGGATAACCTTTTGCTAGAATTACAGACACACATTACTGCACCTTGTTTATGCCCTGCTGGGGATCTAACCCAGGGCCCCTCCTTAGCAGGCAAGCACTCTATCAGCTGAGCTACATTCTAACCCGCCTTCTTGATTATAGCCACCCTTAGCAAGGATGAAACGGTGTTTTGTTATGGCTTTGGGTTGTATTTCCCCAATAGTGAAGGTAGCTGTAGGAATATCTTTTCAATACTTGTATTTTCAATACAATATTTGTATATCTCCTTTGGTAAGGTTCGCATCCTTTGTCCAGTCTTTAAATTCGGTTATCATTATTATTAAGCCTTAAATATTTTTTGCATATTCTAGTAAACTTGCATCAAATACATGATTGTTAATACTTTCTCCTCTTTTGTGGATTGTAGCCATTTTTCATCAGTTTGTATTTTATTTGAACAATCCATATTTAAAAAAAACAATCCAGCAGTATAATTCATCAGATCAGCTAAAGCGGAAAGCTGACACACACCTCGGCGTCTGCTTCCTCGCTTTGCCAGTCTCTTCCCTAGAGGCCTTCCGCCCTTTTCACTTTTTCAGAGCTTTTTTGTCTTTAGTAACCTTAAAACTGCCTTCTATAGGAACCATCAGTTCTCTTCAATATTTTCTTTGTTTTTTAGTTTTTTATGACAGGGTCTCTCTATCCCTGGCTGACCTGGAACTGCTATGTAGGCCAGGCTAGCCTCAAGCTCACAGAGATCTGCCTGCCTCTGCCTCCTGAGTGCTGGGATCCAAAGCATGTGCCACCACACCTGGCTCACTTAAATATTTTTAAGTATAGACTTTAGATTTTACATTTAAATTGATGAACAGAAGTTGACCATGACTCTGTTTCCCCTCTTCTGAAAACTTTCTCAGAATATTTTCATTTTGTATTTAGAAACAAGTCGATTTTGTGCTCGCTATAGATTTAAGTATCTGAGTCACAAACTTGTGTCCCTTCTGTCAAACTTAGACCTCTGTAAAAATGAAATAGCTTAAATCTAACATTTCAAGGCACAAACAGTCTTGTTGTGCTGTTTCATTAAAATTAAAATAGCAAAAAAAAAATACATATGTTGTCATCAACCCTCTGTCTTGATTTCATCAATACATTAAGACATACAGTCCAGAGAACACCATTAGGATTGTAGCTCAGGGCTACTGCTCAATGCTTGGCACACCTGAGGCTGGGTTCAGTACCCAACATACACTTGTGCACTCCCACAGAAGAAAACGTGCATCTGAATGAATGTTAAGCTGTGTAAACACCTTTAATGATAGTCTTCATTTCTCTGGAAATGAAAGCGACCCGAAAGTGTCTTTTTGCTTTGTTTCAGGTAGGCAGGGTGGGGAGACTCGGGCAAGATGGAACCGCGATTACTTTCATCAATAACAACTCTAAACGACTCTTCTGGGATGTTGCCAAAAGAGTGAAGCCCACGGGATCCATTCTCCCCCCACAACTGCTCAATTCCCCTTACCTTCATGAGCAAAAGAGAAAGGAGCAACAGAAAGACAAACGGACACAGAGCAACCTGGTCACAGGGGCTAACCTCATGGACATTATCAGGAAACATGAAAGGAGCAATTCACAAAAATGATCTGGTATGCCACTTCCAGCAGGTTTTACTTTGTATTATCAGTAAAATTTCTAATAACTGCTATATGATTGAGTAAATAAAAATGTACAAGGAGCAAGCTGGGTGGTGGTGGCGCAAGCCTTTAATACCAGCACTCAGGAGGCAGAGGCAGGCAGATCTCTGTGAGTTCGAGGCCAGCCTATTCTACAAGAGCTAGTTCCAGGACAGGCTCCAAAGCTACAGAGAAATCCTGTCTCGGAAAACAAAAAACAAAACAAAAAAAAAAATGTACAAGGAGCTGGGCAGTGGTCGCACATGACTTTAATCCTAATACTCAGAGGTGAAGGCTGGCAGATTTCTATGATTTCAAGGCCAGCCTGGTCTACCACGTGAGTTTTAGGACAACCAGGACTGCTAGTTTTTCTTGTGGGGATAAAAGGTTAAAAAACAAATAAAAAAAAAAAACTACAAGGGACAGAAGAATCTTTAAGATTGTTTTTAAATTTAATAAAATTTGTATAGCAATAGTGTATTTATTTCAATTCACAACTTTGTTATTAAAAATAAAATCAGAAGATAAATTGCTAAAAAAAAATGCAGTTTGTGTCCTCTGATCAGCATTCTCTGTTGTTTAAATAGGCAGTTCCCAGAGCTATTGCTGGCAGGGCAGGACCCTCCCCAGCACTGCCCCTGCCCTGCCCAGCAGCACCAGAAACACAGTGAGGCTTGAGTCCCCGTTGGCTGGTTAGGAAGGAAGTGAACGATCGCAACGTGACACTCCGAAGTGCCTGGAAGAGAAGGACAGGTGTCCAGTTTTGTTCCCCTTTGGCTTGGTTAGCAACTTTTAAAGCTTCTTCCCCAAATGGTTCTACCAACAGGAGATCAAGCAGTCGAATGTAGGAACCTCTGGGGCCATTGACTCTCTTTTCATTAAAAACCAGTAGCATTTGTTGGGGAGATTTAGGAGCAGTCATACAGACGTTGAGGTGGAACTTTTGAGATAGAACATCTTCCCTGAGCTGTCACCAACGAGTGCCGGATCCAGTGTGCATCCCTTGGACACTGTGTCTGTGTGCATATGTCTATACGCGTAACTTCAGGGGAGCCTGGGAAGCCAAGGATTCAGTGTCCCAAGTGCTACCTACAGCAGGGATGCTGCAAGAGTGAGCTAAGTGCTGATAATTTCTGGGCAGCAGGACAGCTGAGTCATGTTTGCTTGTTTGTTTTAAACTAGATTCAAAGTTGTTTTAAGGAAAATTGGGGTAGCCAAAAAAGTAAGATGACTTTCTGAATCACCCCTTCTGGGAGAGTCAGGTGTAGTAAGTAGCTCATTCATGCCTGTAATCCCAGGAATTAGCAGTCTGAGGCAGGAGGATCCCTGCCAGTTTAAGGCCAGCTTGGCCTACAAAGTGAAACCATTTTTTAAAAATCAAACAAAGCAACAGCAAATGAACAAACAATACCACAAGTAGTAAGGTGACTTCACTGGTGATTTAAACTCAGTTGCTTCTGTCCCACTGCTGTGTTCCAGGGGCTTTTCAGCTGATTGTTGGTCTCCTTAGGACCCCGCTGGAAGCTTAATACTTCATTGTGTTGAGTGAAGTATTAAGGTGAGAGGTGAGAGGTGCAGTGGAGGAGGAAAAGAGCTCACATCCCACATGAGGACTGAATTCAGTGCCTGAGTCCCTGGGGGGGGAGCCCACTGTTGGTGCATCCCCTGTCCTGAGTCCCTGGGGGAGGGGGGGCACTGTTGGTGCAGTTTCCCTGCTGGTCCTTCTCACAGTGAGACCTTGAAGCTCTTCCTGCTCCAAATCTCAGATCTTGGCTTCTGCTTCCCATTTTTTCATAGCTTCCTCTCCTTTTTTACTCATTGTCTTTAGGCGTGGCAGTGCTATGGTTCTTCTTATATAGACCAGAACATGAAACTTTACAAAGGAAGCTGGTCAGAGCGTTGCTAGTATTTGTTTAGTTAAGTTGTTCTGTGACAGTTTCACGCATACACACACGCAGTGCTTTCTGGGTACTCTCACCCTCACCCCCTCCCCACCGGTCTCCTTCCCACAGTCTCAACTTTAGTTTTGTTTGTGGCCCGCTGAGTTTACCCAGGCCATCTGTGGGGTCGTGGGTTGGAAACTACCCGCCGGAGCTTGGTGAGCTCAGCATTGGGACACAGCTCAAGACGATGCCCCCCCCTCCAGAATCCATCAGTAGCCAGGGCAGGGTAGGGCAGGTATTTTTAGTTACCCTCTACTGTCATTACTCCATGCAAGAAAGAACATGCCAAGCAAAACAAGAAGGAAGAGTGCGCGTACAGGGACGGATCGTGCTCAGAAATGGCAAGAAGGAACTACACTATAAATATTTCAATAGTTTAGTAGAAATTATTGTATGGTTCAAAATACGAATTAGCTGAAATAACTAACATATATGCAGCCATTTCTTTTCCAGTAATTATACAACAAAGGTGCAGAACCGATTCTTTGGTTGTTTTATTGCAGAGTGGAAGCAAACAACTTTTCCGTTGTAAACAGCTTAGCTGTAAGTGGCTTTTAGACGGTGAATTACTCAGGAGCCACTTTATCAGATGCTGTAGATCATTCTTCTCGTGCTCCTGAAGCCAAGCGCATTCCCTAAATCAGAAAGATGAAGGGCCTTTCTAATCTGTGGCTTCAGGTCACCTTATAGAAAACAGTGCCACATCTTTTACCTACAACCCACACTACGTCATAAGTTAGGCTCAACTTACTAACTCATGTTCCAAAGAGGCCTCACTGTTTCTGGTGGGGGGCAAACACTGCCGGGGAGGGGGGGGGCTCTGCTCTGGGTTCCTATTAGCACATTTCCCCCCCCCCCTTTCTATTTTCCATAGACTACACAAAATTTCCTCCTTCAACGTAGGTATAGTGCCAGGGGTAACAAGTCACACGAGGTGACTTTCCTGGCACCCTGAAGTAAACCGACTCCACACAGATAGCTCTCTTTTGTTGTCTCCCAGCCTTACTTACAGTGACCCCAGAGGCCCAGGGTCACAGTGTGAAAACCAGCCAATGATAATTAAGTAAACACACTTCTCTAGTTCAGTTGTTGGTGCCAGGAGTCATTTTATAATATGCAGTATTAGTGGCATTTTTGGACCAGATCAAAAATAAGATGTGAGACAAAAACAGCCTTTAAAATGAATTTGAATTTATGACGATTTCACCTGTCTTTATTTTTCTCTTTGCGCCTTAGAGAAAGAAACTTAGTAACAACTGCTTGTGAATAATTAGCTTCCAATTATAGAACTTCACCAATTTTTTCAACTAGCGTAAATTAATTACTATCCCAATCTTGACCTTTCCTCATCTGTAAAATGAGGTTTGCTTTATGATTCTCAGAAGTCTTTTCGAATCTCCTTTTTCTATGATTCATGCTTTCCTTCCTATTCCATATTTCAAACTTGCTTCAGAGTTCTTGGAGTATAAAATAGAGATGAAACAGACTGACCAAGAAGGGCTCCTCACCAGTGCTAGGTGATGGGTATAGAGAAGGCCATTGATTTGGGGTTCATTCACCATGTTTGGGTGTCCCTTGACTGCCGGGGTTCAGATTGTTTGATTTTGGATATTTACACATATGCAATGCTATCTTGAGGGTGGAGCCGAAGTTGAGACACCAACTCCTTTATGTTTTCATGCATGTCTTACCCGACTTGATCTTGTATATCTTTAGAGTACTTGTATTTTGACTGAGATTCATCACAGGAGGACAAGTACAGAATTTTCCATTTATGGCATCATGTCAACTTAAAGTTCCGAAGTGTTTCAGATGAAGATGTTCATGCTGTCCATACTGTTTCCAACCCCATCCTTCTACCTGCGCCCTGACTAAATCTTCAACTTACCACCTTAACCTTGGGGCTCACCTCCAGCATGTCTGAAGCCACATTTACCATCTTCCTTCCTTGGAGTCTGATTCTCCTCCTGACTTCCATGTTGCTGGAAGTGCCACCACTCCCTGGGACATGCTCAAACCATGACGTCATCACGGACTCACCTTCCCTCTGATCTCCACATCAGTTTAGTCACCTAGTCCTGTCTGGTTTGCTTTCAGAATGGCCACACTGTCACATTGCCACTGAAGCCCTGGACCCCACTGCCTCCCAACTGAACGATTCTAGTAGTGTTCGAATTGACCGCTCTGCTTCTCCATGTCTTTCCAACCAGAGCAGCACAGTGTGTTCAGAGGGTGACTGAACGCCTTCTCTGGTGTCTCCTTGCTCAGAAGGCTTCAGCCGCTCCCTGCTGACAGGAGTCTGCGCTCCTCTGGCTGCTGTCCGAGTCCACCCTCCAGCTTTCTGCCCACTGTTCCCCAGCTCCAACCATCTGTCATGGCTGACGGCGTGCTCCAACAGTACTGAGCACCACCGCTCGGGGTTCGGGCAGTTCATCAGAACTTCCGAGAACACAATAGGAATAATTAACTGCTGTCAGTGAGAACTGATGTGTCATTGATGAGCCCTCGCCCAGCTAAGGGAAGTGGAGAATCTGCTCACGGAAGGCCTGTTATAGTTACAGAGGAAACACTGCACACCCTTCTCCCGTTCTGGATCCGGGGATATTTACCTTGGGGTTAGAGATGTTCCTGAGTGTTGAATGGGAATTGGGAACTGGTAGCAGAGCAAGTTCTGGAACTGGAGAAGCGTGGTACAGCTGACGGTGCCACCATGATGGATGAGTTAGGCCATAGGGAACACTCACAGTGTGTTTGCTTAAAGCACTCTGGGTAAAGGAAGCTGGGTGATGGATAAAGGTTACAATTTTTAAGACATTTTACCTAATTGGAGTCATTCATCACTTTCATTAACGCACAAGTATATTATATGCAGAAAATTTCCAAGTGGAAATAATGTCTTACATAAAGTGTGCTTGACTGGACTCTGACCTGTGAGGCCAGCACTCAGAAGGCTGAGGCAGAAGGGTTGTAGCGTGTTCAAGGTCAGCATGGTTGTCAGGTCAGGACTACATAGCCACACCCTGTCTCAACATCCCTTTTCCTCCCCCAAAGAAAGTATTCTTAGGAGGATAGTAAAAAAGGCGAGCTTAAGGGAGAAGGGAGCTGGGTGGCCTTCAGGATGCCGTCTTAAAACACTGGACAGATTTCTTACTGGCTAACCAATAAATGGTTACTCAATCTTCTTTACATCCTTTTGGAGTAGAAGCTGTTTCACTTTGGTGTGCAGATGCCCGGTGGGTGATTTAAAGCAGCAGAGAGCTTGGTTTCTCTGCCTTCATCTTCTGCCTCCTGTCCTACCTTAAAACTGGGTCAGACTGTTCCTCAGCTCCGAACATAAGCATGCCAATCACGCCAATCATTTTAGGAGTGTTCTTTTGAAGCTGGTAATCTTCACCTTCAGGGATGAAGACACCGAGATAAGAAGAACTGAGGCACTTTCAAGACTTGCAGGGACATCATAATTATGGTACTGGCGTTTACAACATCCTATTCTAGGCCACCAAATGGCACCATTCCTGCAGTCAATTTGGGTTCCAGGAATAGTGGAGCCTTGCAGGCAGATTAACCCATGATAAGACTGGCCCCTTAAGCTCACGAAGAGACAAGCTACGTGCCCAAAGAAGGGAGAAATCGTCTCATCTCATGCTGGGGACCAAACAGGCTGTTGATGTGATAAGGGTTCCCCGAAGCCTTGCAGAAGCAGCTGGAGATTGGGCTCAGGCACCACACTGGCCAAGACAAGTGCCCTCTGCTCCCGGCTCCAGGTTTTCCCTACCTCACTTGAAGGCCATGGCAGTACTCCCTAGAGACAGAGCTCCACAGGTTGACCCCTTGGCTTCCGCATAGGACCAGAATGAATCTATTTCCCTGTCTCTTCACTGTCTCTCTTGCCATTTGCTTTTGGAGTCTGTGGTCAGGCTTGGCTTGGTGGTGTCCCTGAAGTCAGACCTTCCTCACCTGAGACTCCCTGTAATCATATGTGTATGACTGTTTCTGAACAATGCTGACAAAGGAACATTCCAACCACGGTGGGGAAATTCTATTTCATCACAATTTCATCTCAAATCATCAAGTGTAAAATGGAAATTATGAAAACACTGTGGGTTTAATAAAATTCTTTTTTTTAAAAAAAACCCAAATTTTATTGTATAGAAATACACACACACACACACACACACACACACACACACACACACCCCAAAGATGTTATTCTCATGTTTCCCAGTCTTCCTCTTCTTCAACATCTCTGATATAAAGGATATTACTGCACCTTATTAGCACTTTCCCCAGATGTCCAGGCAATGCACCATCTATGTATTTTTCTGTGTTTGCAAGCTGCATGTTCATGTAGCCATCTACAGAGACCAGGTAACCCTTATCTTCCATTCCCCACTTGAGTTTCACCATGACTGACTTTCCTCTTAACCCATTGAGAAAAGGCTTGGGATTGAGGGGTAAATTCATCACGAACACCCGCAAGCACTGCACCCCACTTGCCACCAACCCGCCGCTGCAAGCCACTCATGACTGGAACAGCTACCACTGACCCAAACCCAATAAAATTCTTAATAGTAGCAAATAACCCCCAGTTGCATTAGATGGTCACTCTCTTAAGCTTTTAATGAAATGAAAGCAGTGACATAAGAATTTGAAAGTGTGGCAGTCGGTGCGAGCAGTGACGAGATGGTTACGGAGGATGTGAGCGTGAGGGTCCTTTGGGTTGACTGTTCCTCATGCCAGCAGGGAGGGAGAACAAGAATGCAACCCGAACAGGGCGGCAGTGGCCCCAAGAGACCGAGGTAATTGCCTTTTCTTAAATAGGCTGGTTATTAGCTGCACAATTTAAAGACTGCTGCAAAGCTAATGATTAAATTACTTCTAAGATAATAGAACATGGGGTTCCTTTCTGACTAGGTATCAGGCACCGGTTCTCCAATAAGCGAAAAGAGCCTATAGAAATTAAAGTTTATTTATCAAGTTAATAAAACTTTATTTTTAACTCTTATGTATGAGGGTTTTGACTGCATGCATGAATGTCTGTACATATGTGCACATGTACAGTATCCATGTAATTCAGAAGAGGACATTGGATCTCTGATACTGGGGTTACAGGCAGTCGTGAGCCACCATGTGGGTCCTTGGAACTGAACCCAGATCCTCTGCAAGAGCAGCAAGTGCTCTTAACTGCTAAGCCATCTCTCCAGCACCTTTAGTGATTTTTTTTTAAGAAACAAAAGCAATGAACCAGACTTCTGCACTTTAGCAGAAGCAGTGAAAAACCCATTGCTAACTTTCCCTGCCTATCAGAAACACCCTAATTACTTTTCACACAAGAGCTCTTTGAGTAGGTATTCTTCATGACCCAGATTTCAGAGGCCCCCCCCCCCCCGTGCCCAAGGTCAAAGACAGTTCCAGGTTCTGTGGGCTTTAACATTTCCCGTGGACATCCTCCTTTCCTCTGTGCTCAGCTGGGACTTCTGCAGGACAGGACCCAAGCTTCTTACTCGGTGCCTACAACATTCTTCTTTCTTCTCCAAGACAGGACCATTTACTTTTGAGAAGCCAGACCTGTAGTCTGGGGTTTTCTTCCTCCACTTTCACCTTCCCCAAAGAAAGCTGGGAGAGTCCAGGGCCTGTGGAGGACCAGGACCAGAGCCCAAACTCTTGGACTCTGTGACTCGTTGTGCCTGCTTCATTTCTGTGCTGGCTCCCAGTGAATACTTCAGGAGGATTTACAAAGAATATGGTTTGGAATAAAATAAGACTGCAAAGTTATGCATTAGAAAGACAGATGAAGCCAGGCAGTGGTGGTTCAGACCTTTAATCACAGCACTCGGGAAAGCAAAGGTAGGTGGATCTAAGTGAGTTCGAGGCCAGCCTCGTCTACAGAGCAAGTTCCAGAACAGGCTCCAAAGCTATGTGCTGATGTTTCCTAACACCTACTATGCGCTGATGTTTCCTAACACCTACTATGCACCAATGTTAGCTAAGACCTACTATGCACCAATGTTAGCTAACACCTACTATGTGCTGATGTTTCCTAACACCTACTATGCGCTCCTTCCAACAACTCCATGGTGGGAAGTTTACAGATGAGGAAATGGAAGCAGAGTGGAGGTCAGTATCATCCCCAAGATTTACTCATCTAAAGCATGAGTTAAAACCCAAGTCTGGCAGGAGAGGTGGCTGGAGAGGTGGCTCAGTGGCTAGGAGAAAGCCTGGAGTTGGGCTCCTAGCATTCTTGTCACGGGGCTCACAACCTCCTGTGGTTCCAGCGTCAGGGCCTCTGATGCCCTCTTCTGACCTCTGTGGGCCCCCACGTGCACCCAAGCACACAAACACAGAAAGTTTTTTAAATGCTGTTAAAGAAAAGAAACTTTCAGTCAGGAGTGGCATTGCACACCTTTAATCCCAGCACTTGGGAGGCAGAGGCAAGCGGATCTCTGTGAGTTCGAGGCCAGCCTGGTCTACAGAGCAAGTTCCAGGGCAGCCAGGGCTACACAGAGAAACCCTGTCCCAAAAGCAATCAAACAGAAATCCAAGTCTTTTTTTCACTCCTGCATCGTATATTATTGTAAGATCATTAAACGTTAAGTATTCCAACAGCTTTGTTGTTGGAATAATAAAGCTTCTTATTTTTTAAAACTATCATTTCACTTATTGTTATTATTGTACATCATGTATGTGTGGGAATGCATGCTGCAGTCTGTGTGTACATAAGTGTAGATTAAAGTACAAATCTATGGAGTCAGATCTCTCCTTCCTCCTTCATATGAGTGTGTGTGTGTGTGTGTGTGTGTGTAAGACAATGTGAGCTAAGAGACATTTGATTTTACATATTTAAATATTAATATTAGTAATTGATACTGAGCATTAGCTGTGAGAGCACGCTCAATGACAGTGACACTCAGTGACATTTGAGGAGACAGATTCTGTCTTTGTAGGTCGTAGTAAAACAGACAAACCTACATAGAAGAACCAGTTTAGAGTTTTTAGAGTCACTAGGAACAAGAGCAAAGGGTACAATAGATCCTGTAACTGTGAAAAATTGGAAATACTAATTCTCTTCTTCCACTCCCCCACAGGGGCTGGGGTCAGCACTTCTCTGGCCCAGAAAGCCCCTTCTGGGCGGACAACGGCCTTGTCCTCAGAAGTTCTTTGGGAAGCTGAGCAATGGGCTGTGGCTAGCGGTTGCCCTTCTGCCCTGTTCTCTTTTAGCAGAGTGAGTCTGGCAGGAGGCCGGCCGCCCAAACTGCTTCCTACAATGGTTCCTCTGCCCTTCAGTGACCACTGGTTCTCTCTCTCACCCTCTTATGGCCAGTGAGAACAGGAGGGGTTGGGGTCCTCCTGGTCTTATGTGTGTGTGTTGGGGGGTGCACACGTGCTTTGGCTTCCCCAGGAATGCGGCGTTTCAAATCTGGACATGTGGGCCAGTGCTGCAGAGCTAGGGAGCTGCAGCACCTTCTTCATTCTGTGCTCTGCCATCCTAGAGTGCTGCCCACTCCTCTGGGCTCCTGTTGTTGTCCCATTGTCCAAATCCAGGACCTTTTTGCTCTGTCCATTTCTGCTCATCAGTCCTGGGGCCCATGCCTGTCATTCCAGCCGCTTTGGATCAAACTGCTACAGGTCAGTGAGAGTGACTGATGAACCAGTTCCTCCTAAGCAATGAGCTCTTCTGATAGACTGTAAAGGTAGGCTACTAGGAATCAAGACATAGTTTACGTGAATCACTAAATATTGCTTCTCAGGTACATGTGTTGTCTCATTTAACCCTCTGAAGACTCGGTAAGCTGGGCGCTATTATTATCTGCATTGGTAAGTGAGGAAACTGAGTCACAGAGGACTTAAACTGTTCAAGATCACACAATTAAATGCCGCAGCAGGAATCCAAACCCAGGCAATGCCCTTTAGGGTCTCCCTTTTCTTTTTCAGCCGGAGCTTTGTAGACCAGGCGGACCTTGAACCCTCTGCCCTCCTGCCAATTCTGGAATGAGCTTCACCCACAGCCAGGGGCACAGAGGCCACCACCGAGGCCAGAAGAGAGAGCAGGATTCCCTGGAGCTGGTGTTACAGTGGTTGTGAGCCACCTGGGTGCTCTGTACGCCAGTCCTCTGGAAAGCAGTGTGTTCTTGTAAGCTCTGAACCGTGAGCCGTCTCTTTATTGCTGAGCTCTGTGTTGGACTCCTTGGTCGGTGCTCTGAGTGTCAGCCAGCTATATCTCCCTCTTCTTCAGCCTCAGCGTACATGTCGTGGCATCTGCCTCATTTCTACCCCTAGTGCCAATCAAGTCACTCATCACCCTGACTCAGTACCTCATCTGGTCTCCCTGCCCTGGGGGCTCCACCCACACCTCTCTCTATATATATTTCTTATGATTCCACACAATTGTCTGCTGAGTTTCCCCAAAGCCTGGCTTTATTTGGAATTCCAGTTTGCCATTCTGTCATTGTGCAGACTCTGCCACGGGGGCCAAACATAGACACAGGTGACTGAGGCTGAGCATGGCTTAAAGGCTCAGCTTGTGACACCAAGGACAGAAACACTAGCCCACAGCAGCAGGTCACTTCCAACTCCATCACCAGGTTAAAATCAGCTGTGATGAAAGCCAGGATGTTGGGGAGAGAAGGGAGGGGTGCATTGGGAAGGCAGGTGAAGGGAGACAATCCCAGCATCACTGCCCATTTTTGCTCTCCAGTGAAAACCTTCCCAGAAACGGAAACAGAAATGAAACTCCAGTCAGGGCCGATCCCATATACAGCAGGGTAGGATGCCGGACTTGTAGGAATCTGAATGTGAAAAGTGCTCCCTGACTCACTCCACAGAGAAGCAAGAGCCAGGAAGAGCTGTGAGGGGGCCGGGCCCCACCCTCGGGTCAGAGCGACCCATCAGAGAAGCCCTATGTCCTCTCTGTACCTCCTACCATCCCATATTAACACCTTTCACACACAGAGAGAATCAGTCCATTGTGTCCTGGGGAGGAAGCTGAGCTTCCAGATGGAGCTGTGCTGAGAGGATCGATTGCCACATTCCAGGAACAGGTCAGGTCACTGAGGATTTCAACCGTTTGGGGAACCGGGCAGAGAGGAAGCTAATGAAATCCAGTCTCCCAAAGAGTACGGTTAAGCATTAAGGTAGACTTCAAATGGTGCTTCAATAGGTAGAATTGCGGCAAATAATGAGAAAGGAGCCCCGGGGCTAGATGTTGACACCTTCGGAGTCTATCTGCTGACAGGGACCTTCCATGTGGAACGAGGGAGTGATGGCTTCCCTGTAAATGGCCACATCTCATTTAGCACCTTGGTGAATCCCCAGGCTTGCTACCCAGAAATAGCATCCAGCTAAGGAGAGAAAAAAAAAAGGAGAGAAAAAAGGAGGGGTTGCTATGGGGCCCAGAAATGCAATGTGATCACTTGTTTACTTGTCTGTTTTTTGAGACTAGGTCTCACTCTGTAGTCCAGACATGC